GTATGGAGTGTAGGTCTACTTCCAGCTCATTTGCCCCAGTCACTTTATCTTGTTTCTGGACATGTACTGATATGGTCATTTGTTTCTGTTTTTCAGGCATATTCAATAATTAGCTGTGGCCTTAATACGTAGATGGGTGTGGGGGGGTATTTTTATGATTGCCTCTGGGTAGATGAGATCAGGAGATGGAATTTCCCTTTTCATTCTTCTTCCTGAGAAATCTCAAGATGCCACTGTTGGTCAATATGACATAACTCAGGATTTAATTTTTAGCCTGTTTCCTTTTTAGTCTGCCTGTCCCACTCCACAATCCCTGTTCATGCCTTTTTCCTAGTGATAAACAGTTCAGGGCCAGCTGTAGCCATTTTGCACTGCTGTATGCTTTTAAGTGGAAACTGTCCCTTTAAATTTTGTGATTTGTGCACATGCATAATAGAACCCTCTGGGGGTAGAGGTGGGGTGTCCACTTGCTCATGCACCCCCTTAGTCACCAGAATGGAGGTGCACAGACAGCAAGAGACCAATGGAAAAAAAAAAAAGAAATTATGTCCACACCTTTATTTCCACGGTTCTGTCAGGCGTCAATCCGTGGCTGCTCTGATCCTTCCCCTGCTAGGTCTTGTCCTAGATGGCTACTCAGGGAGCAGCTGACCACCTTGGATTAGAAAGCATTCGATTTCATGCTTCTGCTACAAATTCCACTGGCTGTAAGCCTTCCAACTTTAAAAAATATTCCTTTATATGTGGTTCAGAGTTCTGGCACCATTCCCTGAGACTGCTTGGTCCGGTATTCTGTGTAGTTGCTGATGGAGATCCTCACTACACTTCTACCCGGTCCGCCATCTTGTTTGTTCTCCCAAATGCTACCTCTTGAAATGGTTGAACACAGATAATTTATTTCTGGTACAGTAACTCTGTGTATTCTTATATCTTCTTTTGATGCTTTCTGCATTATTCCATATTTTGCCCATATAATCTTTCAATATTGCAGGTCAAAGCTTGAATTTTTTCTTCAGTTTCCTCAATTTGAGGAATGCTGAGGGTGTTCTTCCCTTTTGGTTTTCTAACTCCAGGTCTTTGCACATTTCGCCTTAATACTTGACTTTGTCTTCTTGAGCTGCCTTTTTAAATTTTTGGTGCAGCTGTCTACCTCTTCATTTTTTCCATTTGCTTTAGCATTTCTACACTGGAGAGCAAGTTTCAGAGTCTCTTCTGATGTCTATTTTGGTCTTTTCCATCTTTCTTGTCTTCTTAATGACCTTTTGCTTTCTTCCAGTGTAATGTTCTTGATGTCATTCCCACAACTCTACTGATCTCTGGTCATTATTGTATAAAGTATCAAATCTGTTGTTCAGGTCACCTCTAAAGTCAGGTGGGATATGGCCTGGGTCATATTTGGCTCTCATGGACTTGTTCTAATTTTCTTCGGTTTCAGCCTCAATTCACATATGAATAATTGATGGTTTGATCCACAGTCTGCCTCTGGTCTGGTTTTGGCTGATGATATTGAACTTTCCCACCATCTCTTTTCACAGATGTAGTCAATTTGATATCTGTGTATTCCAACTGGTGAGATCCATGTGTGTAGCCATCTTTTATGTTGTTTTAAAAAAAAGGTATTTGCAATGAGTAAGTCATTGGTCTTACAAAATTTTATCATACAATCTCCAGCATCATTTCTATCACCAAAGTCATTATTTTCCAACTACTGATCCTTCTTCTGATTCAAACCTTCACATCCCAATCACCAGTAATTATAAATACATCTTGATTGTATGTTTGGTCAATTTCAGACAGAAGAAGTTGACAGAATTCTTCAATTTCATCTTCCCTGGCTTTAATGTTTGTTGTATAAATTTGAATATTAATTGTATTACCTTGTCTTCCTTTTAGGCATATGGATATTTTTGTATCACAGACAGCATTGTACTTCAAGATAGATCCTGAAATGTTCTTTATGATGATGAATGCAACACCATTCCTCTTCAAGTTGTTATTCCCTGCATAGTAAACTATATGATTGTCTGATGCAAAGTGGCCAATACCAGTCCATTTCAGCTCATTAATGCCTAGAATATTGATGTTTATGTATTACACTTCAATTTCGACAAGTTCCAATTTTCCTAGATTTATACTTTGTACATTCCATGTTTCAATTGTTAATGGATGTTTA